TCTTCTGTCAAAAATATAACAGGTTGTAATATAACATGAAAGATTCCAGGTTGCTTTCATCAGTTGTCTCTTTAATGAGTGTGAAAACATTCCAATGCATCTGGGCTTTGCCAGCATTTTTATTTTGCCTAACATTTTATTACCTCTCACTCTAGTTGTGATGTATCGTTAGGATCTCTAACCAACAAACTATATAACATACACAAAAACTTTATACAGAGAACTGACTCACATTTAATCTTTCCTAGTTCCCAGAAGTCACACAATTTCCAATATTCTCAAGATGGCATCAGAAAACTTTATTTTTAAACCTGTAATTGAAGATCATACAAAAATGTGAATCCATGATACCTGTCCCACCTTATAATTTGATTTTAGGTGGATTTGGACTATGGATCATCAAAAGGACTTTGTTTTTAACAACTTCAAATCAAAAATTCACAAAATAAATGTTGTCAGCCAATTTATTGTCATTAATCCCATTCCAATACTTAGAGGCTGTGAAAGTGACCCTGGTTTCTTGAACACTATTCCCAGCAAAAGAGAAGCTCTAGTAGGTCCCACTAAGCTAGAAAGACTGAAAGTGACAGACAATATGTACTGCCCAAGGACTTGCCTAGTAATAATAATGTAATGTGAGCTTCTTCATCAGAAAGTTAGCCAACAGGTAACAGATTTTTTCTTTTTAACAAAAGCAACACATAAAAATTTCATAAATGATAGAAAGGTTGCAGTTTATCTCAGAGGAAATGTCACCCCTTGAGGAAACAGATATTATTGACTCAGCTTTAGATAAATGTCATCTGTCCTCTTTTTATCACTGCCTAGTGAATAAAATATACACCTGCTACACCATGATCTGTAGCAAAGCCTAACGTCATGAATTAATATTGTAAGAAACTTTCTCCTAATGCAGATGACAACTCCTCTCTAATTTTAGTCTTTAGAGTTGTCTGGGGCACTGAGAGGTTCAGTGCCTGGCTCATGGTCACACAGCTAATCTGAGTCATGATTTCAAGTTTTACTCTCTCCAAGGTCTCTTTATGAAGTAAACAACCAGTTGTTGTTGTTGCTGTTGGTGGTGGTGGTGTTCCGTCTTGTGTGATTTTTAATAACCAAGTATGAGATTTTCTTGGCAAAGATACTAGAGTGGTTTGCCATTACCTTCTCCAGTGGATTAGATAATGGGAGGTTAAGTGACTTGCCCAGGATCAAACAGCTAACCAGTAGCTGTAGCCATATTTGAACTTAGATCTTCCTGAGTACAGGCCCAGCCCTCTATCCACTGAGCTACCTAAGCTGCCTCAAAAAACCAGTGCTTGATAGAAATATAATATGATGAGAATACTACATATGGAATCAGAAAACGTAAGTTTGAACCCCAGCTCTGCTACTGACTACCCATGAACTTGTACAATAGACATGATATTTCAACCATAGTTTCATAATCTGTGAAATTAAGAAGTTAAATTAAATGGTCCCTACAGACCCTTCCACTTACAGATAACAATGAATATTTGACTTGTGCTATATACTCCTCTGTCTGACTACTGAAATAACATGACACAAACTGAATTAAACCTAGTGTACTTTGTATAGTCTTTCTTTTCCCTTACTTGCCCCTAATCCTTAAGAACATAGAGTGGAATTCTTCTCTTTGGGCTCTAAAAGGTACCAAAAAGTTTTTCCTACTACCCCAAAGAGAACTTTTCTCAAGTTAACTCTCTAAATTCTTCAAGGTGGCCAAGTATCCAATCCTATCCAGGATTGCTTATCTATAGCCATACTACAAGTCATATATTTAGAAAGAAATTCAAGAAAACCTGGAAGACAGAAAAAAATTGCTCTAGGGTACTATAATGTAATAATAAATTAATCAGTCAATCAGCAATTATTAATTGAGCATTGCCCAGGTAAAGATACTACACTAAATATTGAGGGTTAAATACATATATATATACACACACACACACATATACAGATAGAAAGATAGGGATAGATATTCCTTTCTCATTTTCTCTTGGCTCTAAAAGCCTATAATTTTATAATTCTATCAACTGTTTATTAGTTTTATTGCAGCACTGAGTGAGAGGTTTGAATAGAAAAAAAAACCTTTTGATTTCCACCCTTTGCTATAACATAGCCATCCCCACAAAGAATATACCTAGTAAATTATAGAATTAGTGGCCCTTACATGTGTCAGCAGCTTGAAAATGGCTACATCTCTTTTCACATTGGATAAATTTGACACTATTTACTAATCTAATATCAAAAGTCACAATTTTAAAAAAATTAAATATATGCCAGCTTGGTTTAAAATTCCTTTCATCAAGATTTTTTCAATTATATCACTGTTTTTATTAACTTAAATTTTCTATCAGAATTTCCTTTTCCTTTATGTTGTCAAAAGTTTTTACATTAGTACTTATATTTTCAATTTCCATGACAATATCTTATAAAATATCATCACTAGTATCATCCCCAAACACAAAAATCTTGCAGAAAACAATTCTGTGACTTGTCCAGTATTACAAATAGACAACAGCAGAGCTTGGATTAAAATTTAGTATTAAGCATTAGGGTCAGAATTATAGTTCATTTTAGTTTCCTAAGTAATCCAGTCTGCTTTCTTTTTGGAGACAGAAAGACTTTAGGAATACATGGATGCTCTATCCCCCATTCCCACCTTTGGTAGATGTGTTTTATTTCATATTAATAGTTTTAAGACTACCCAAGAATAAGGTCATTTATTCAGTAAAATTATAAAAGCAGGAACCATATTCTGCAGCATCCCTCTGCTAACTCAATGAAAAAGTATTTTTTAAAACTCCGTTATTTGAATAGTAAATTAAGAAATAATTTTTATTATAATTTGTGGGACTATATTATTTTATAGTGATTTTTTTCTTAACACTTAGGGTGTGTGTGTGTGTGTGTGTGTGTATGTGTGTGTGTGTGTGTGTATGTGTGTGTGTGTATGTGTATGTGTATGTGTGTGTGTGTACTGATGTTTATAAAGTGGCCCAATACACTCTTACATTCTTTCTCATTTGATCTTCACAACATCCCAATTTTAGACATAAATCAATTGGCAAAAATACATCAAATTCAAATTCACACACCATTGAAGACATCTTAGTGGAATCATATGATCATGGCTTTAAAGTTAGAAAGGAGGTTTAAAGATCCTTGAATCCATGTGGCAAGCAGAATATTTCAACAAACAAGGATCAGCCAAAGAATCTGGACATCTTATTGTCATTGTTGCCAATAGCTCAACATTACCGAATTTCAAATGGGAATAAAAGTTTTCAAAAGCTCACAAAGTTTTATCAACCTCTCCTATCCTTACAGGTCCTTCCAAGTCCTTACAGGACTTGCCAGAAAATCAAGAAGATAATATTGGCAAAATACTCCACTCCATAGAAGAATTTAAGTTCTAACTTAAAGTGTTCTCAATGCAGTATTAGATAGCAACGTACTTTCAAAATTTTTGGAATTTCTATACAAAGTGAATTTGATAGGAACCTTTTGACAACAATAAAACACTATACCATTAAGAGTAAATATGAAAAGGTTTTGATACCAAAATAAGAGTCAAAGATGACTAATATTGAATCAAGAGAAAGTGGAAACAAAGAATACAAACATGTTTAACAATTTAACCCAAGTTGTTTGTATCACTTAGCAAAGGTAACCTGTATCCCAAACTCAGAAAAAAAAATAACGCAAAACTGGTATGAAACAATAGACTAAAGCAGAAAAGTGGGCAACATGTTTTTTTCCTGTTTTTTTTTTAAATCTACGTAGTTCAAACTATGTCTACTGAACAGATTTCTTATTAAATAAATGACATTCAATGGAATGACTCAAGTGTGGCACTTAGAGGAAGTAGGTGTTTTGTTTTGAATAATATGATAAGACAATGCGAGAAATCTTTAATTTTTAGGCTATGGTAAAATATGCACAACATCATCAAGTCTGGTACAAATTTATAATAATAAAAAAGGCCTATCCCCAAGCCTATGTAATATTATCTCTTGCAAATTAAAATGCAGTATGAATATTCTCTTTGAAATAGTATAAGCAATACTCTCAGAAGAGAAAACAAAGAATGCACATAAAAGTGTCTGATGTAATTATCAAAGTTTCAGAAAAAATCTTAAACACCGTTATCCGTTTTATAAATTGAACTTAAAATTTTAAAGGATAATAAAATATATGTCCTTATAAAATCAGTACTTCCATGGGAATATCCAGGGCATGTTTTCCTAACAAGCGGTAAGCATTTGAAAAAGAAACAGTTTTTGATTAAATACTGATAGTAACTGTAACAACGCCTAAAATCTCACGTCATGATGAATTTAGAACAGCTGAAACAGAGTTGAATTCTCAAACCCCGGTAGATTCAAGTAAATTCTCAGAGAGAGAAAACCCAACAAGTACCCACATTCTTTCAAAACAAGACTCCAAATTGTGTATTCAATACATCTGCCCAGCCTCAAATCTGCAAAAGCCTGAAAGTTCTAGAGATAAGGCACGACGTGCTTAGTGTACAATGTAGCTATTGTTAGACTTCTGACAATGTGGGAGAGGGATGGAAAAGAGAGAATCCAGAAAAGAACCCTAGCAAGCAAAAAAGGAAGGGGAAAAGAGCACGGAACCCCTCGTCTGGGAAAACAGTAAAGGAAAGAGATGGCTGGAGTGTTGGAGAAGTGAAAAAGAGGGGGTTGAGTGTGAAAGTAACCCCAATCCCTACAACTGGCAGAAGGGGCGCGGAGTGTGAGCCAACCTAAATAGTCTTTGTTGGACTTTTACTTTTTTCAAATGTAAAAGCTAACCTACACTTACCTCCCATCCCCCTTTGTGGGGGACGCTCTCGTCAACCCCCGAGAATCGGAACAGGACTCGTAGACCTACTTAGAACTCAAGGCAGAGTGCGCAGAAAGAAGGGAGGAAAAAAAGGAAGGAAGACTCCCAGCTAAATTGCGGCCACTTACGAGGAAGGGTCTGGAGCGAAGAAATCCACCGCAAAGCCGAAGTAACTTCCCTCCGGGCCAGAATACTCGGCGGGACTCTCCACATCCAGGTTGAAGGCGCTGCAGAGAGGTGGCAGGGGCGGCAGCAGTAGCAGCAGGAGGCCCGGGAGAAGGAGGTGGAGGCAGCGGCGCCGGAGGTGGAGAAGCAGTAGCGGCAGCCGCCGCCGCCGCCTCCTCCCCAGCCAAGGGGCCATCTCTGAAGTGCGCGGCTCAGCGCCTGTCTTAGCGCCCCCAGCCACCCCCTCCTCGGCCGCAGCCGCTCCGCGCCCACCGGCGCCCCTAATGCAAGTTAGCGGAGACGAAGTTTCCTACCGCCCCAGCCACGGAAGGGAGGAACGAGAGCAGAGCTGGCTGTGGTGTCCACTAGGGAGAGGGACTCTCCCGGCTGGGGGCGATTTTCTCTTGGGATCGCTGCGTGGGCTGGAACTCTGGCCGGCCCTCCACGCCCGTCCTCTTTCCCTCCCACAATCCCGCCCCCTTAATCCCGTCTCCCTTGGCCTTCCAGTCCTTGGTCCGGTGCTTAACTCTCTGTTGCTGGCAGGGCACTGACCTGGGAACAGAGGAACATCGCGGCCTTAGTGCAACCACGGCTGGGAAGAGTAGGCGGAGAAGGGAGAGGAGGAGGAGCTGATGGCTCAGGGGCGGTTGAGATGTCGGGGAGAAGGAGGAAGTGAAGGAGGGAGGGAAGGCAGTCATCCGACTGGCAAGAGCCTTGCAAACTTCCGTGCCGAGCCCTGGCTGTTCTCTAAGCCGGCCGAGCTTTGGCTGGGGCACTCCAAATTCGCCCTGCCTTCGTCTGCTGCACGGCTGCCAAAGGAGGAACTGGAAACGGGATAGGAGAGGACAACCGCTGTTTACTCTGAGCGCTAAAGGGTCAACAAGAGAGGGATTTGGGAAGGGGTGGAGAGTGCTGAAGGGCAGAGTGGTGGCAGCGCAAGATGACCCCAGTGAACTCATTTTTCCGCTAGTGTTTAAGAACTGAAGATGCTCATCCACCTCTCTCTGGATTTTCTGTACCTCCAGAGCCCAGAGGGTGTGATGAGAAGAAACTCACAAACAAAATCCATTTTAGATGTTTAGTGATTAAATCTAGAAGAGTTTACTACAATAAGAAGAACTTGAATGAAATAAGCAGTTGTAAAGGTGTGACTAATAACCTAGACTTTATTACAAGAGATTTTGTCTTCCCAACCAACTCTGGATCCTATCAATTTAATCGATTTATCTTTTTTTCATAAGTAGCCTTATGATCATCACTATGCTTTAAATGTTTAACAACGAAGATATAGAGCTAAAAGAGACCTTTGAGAGACTCCAGCCTGCCACATTTTGCCCAGAGAGGTTATAACTTACCCAAGATCATTCTAGTAATATGACTATTCAAGCCTAGGTCATAGGATCATATATCAAAGCTGGATAGAACCTCAAAGACTACCTTATACAATCCCCTCAATTTAAAAAAAGAAAAATTGGGGCAGCTAGGTGGTGCAGTGGATAGAGCACTGGCCCCGGAGTCAGGAGGACCTGAGTTCAAATCCAGCCTCAGACACAACACTTACTAGCTGTGTGACTCTGGGCAAGTCACTTAACCCCAATTGCCTCATCAAAAAATAAATAAATGAAAAGAAGAAAACTGTGACCCAGGGAGGATGTGACTTGTCCAAGTTCACACAGAGAAGTACCAGGAGTGGAATTTAAATCCAGATCCTCTAACTCTAGAGCCAGATCTTTCCACAGTATCACCTACTGTGCTTTCAAATGTAGCATTCTTTTCATTTTAGGCAATCAGCAAAAAGTTATTAAGTTTCTATGTACCAGAAACTGTGGTAGGTGCAAATCTCAAGACAAAAATGAAGCAGTTCCTTCTCTGAAGGAAGAAGTTTACCGAAGCTCTGCCCCTTTAGGAAGCAGCCAGGACCCTGTAGGGAAGTGTACGAGGCATTTGCCAGAAAGATCCCCTCCCCTCACTCCTCCAACTCACGTTCATAATGGTAAATTGAGTATCCAGAGGTGTGGCTGCTGTAACTCTCTAGGGGGTAACTTTATGAATGGTTTTCCTCTTACCAATGTAGCTTACAAGCCCCCAGTAAACCCCATGGGTTTACTTCTCCTTAACAAGTATCATGTAGACATTTTGAGCAAAGGTGGTTAAATGGTAAATCACTCCTCCCCCAAAATCAACGTGCACTCTCCTACAAATGCAGAGTCTATGTAGTGGCATGGGGGGGGGGGGGGGAGACATGAATTCAGAGTACACATGCTTGTGAGTTATACATGTAGGGAAAAACATGTGGCCAAAGCAACTCACAACTCTCAAACTTCAGAGGCTTAATGTCCTTTCCTTTTTCCAAAGTTTTGTGTTCTGTTTTGTTTTTTTGTCATTCAGTCATTTCAGTCGTGTTGGACTCTTTATGACCTAGTGGACCTTTGTCCGTGGGGTTTTCTTGGCAGGGATACTGGAGTAGTTTGCCATTTCCTTCTCCAGTGGCAAACAGAGACTAAGTGACTTGCCCAAGGTCACTAGCTAGGAAGTTTTAAAGTTTCCTCATAAGCTTAACTACAAGATAGTATATCTTGACATACAGGTGACTCCACTGCTCAGTAGGGCTAGTTCTTTGTAGGACACAGCTAAGGCATTTGGGGTAGGAGACAGGGAGGATCAGCAAAGACTTCATTTAGAGGATCATCAAGGTGGTGCAGGGGATACAGCAACTAGCCCTGGAGTCAGGAGGACCTGAGTTCAAATCTGACCTCAGAAACTTGACACCAGCTGTGTGACCCTGGGCAAGTCACTTAACACCAATTGCCTCACCAAAAAGCAATAAAAATTTTAAAAAAATTTTAAAAGAAGACTTCATGTAGAATATGGTACCTGAGCTGAGCTTTGAAGGAAATCAGGGCTCTAAAAGGCAGAGAGAATATATTCCAATCATAATAGACAACATCTGCAAAGGCAGAGGGAGAAGTGATGAGTGTTTGTATGAGGTAACACCAGCTTTAGATGGACCATCAAGTTGGTGAAGTGGGGTAAGATAATTATGTTGGAAAGGTAGATTGGATCTATGTTGTGATGGGCTTCAAATGACAAAGGTGTTTGTACTTTATCCTGGCACTAGAGTTTACTAAGCAAGAAACCCATGTTTCTAGAAAACCATTTTTCAAGCTGTGTAACAAGGGGTCAGATAGGGAAGACACTGGAGGCAGGAAAACAAATTATTATGAAGCTTCCACCAAAGTTCAAAGTTCATTGGAAAGGAGAACAAACTAAGGTGGTAGGTGTGTGAGTAGAAAAAAGGTGATGGATGCCAGAGATATTGCTCACCATGAGCTATTTTGGTACAAAAGCTGATTTTCAGTAATAATTTCACAAATTACATTGTGTTTGTAAACCTTTTTGATGTTGCTTTTCATATTTGTTCCCAATACAAAAGGTTTCATTTCTGATTATAAACTTAGGATAATATCCAGCCATGACTACAAGTATAACTTTTTTCATATTAACAATATTCATGTCTTTCTTTAAAAATGGTTTTTGATGACAGATATTTTAAAACCAGCATTCAATATGTACTTACCCCCAATAAGTTCTTGAGCCTGTATGGGGGGAGGGGAGAAAGGTCATGGAATAGGTTCTACTATAAATATTTAGAAAATATGAAGAGTCAATATGTTTACCTTATACTCTTCACTTAACTTTATAGTCTTTCCTATATCACCATTTAATCAGCCAATCAATCAACAAACATTAATTAAGCACCTACTAAGTGCCAGACACTATGCTAAGCAAAAACTACCTTAGAATGAAACCTGTACTGTTATTTATCCTTAACGATTTCATGCACCTCCTAAAAGTGTAATCCTTTTTCCACGCAGCTGCCAAAGTATTATTCCCAAGGCACAGGTTGGATCTTGCCATTCCTGTGCTCAAAAAAACTGCCAGTGGTTCTTTATTGCTTTGAATATAAAACCTACACTTCTCTGGCATTTAGATCCCTGTCTAATCTGGCCCCAGTTCACTGTTTCAGACTTGCTGAGCATTTCTAACCTTTCTGCACTATATGGTCTGGCCAAACTGGCATACTTGCTGTTCCTCACATACAACATTTCACCTTCCTTCACCATGAATTTGTACAGGCTGTCCTCTATGTCTGGAATGGATCCCTCCTCATTCCTACCTCCTTGAATAATAGGTTCCCTTCACAACTCAACTCTAAAGCAGCTTTCTACATGATGCCTTTACTGATGCCCCCAAATGCCTTGTATTTACTTTATTTGATTTTGTATTTACTTGTGTATACGTGTTGTTTTCCCCAATAATGTGGAAGCCCCTTGAGGTCAGGGGCTGTTTTTGTTTGATTGTTTGTTTGTTTCTGTATTCCCAGCAGCAGGTGGCACAGTGGATAGAGCAGTAGCCTGGGAATCAGGAAAACTAATCTTTCTGAGTTCAAATCAGGCCTCAGACACTTACTAGCAGTGTGACCCTGGGCAAGTCACTTAACCCTGTTTGCCTCAGTTCCTCATCTAAAAATGAGCTGGAGAAGGAAATAGCAAACCACTCCAATATCTTTGCCAAGAAAACCCCAAATGCGGTCATGGAGACTGGGACACAACTCAACAACACATACTAGGCACTTAATAATGTTGATTTTGAATATTACCTGTGCGGCTAACTGGATAGTCATTATTCTATTTCACTACTAGAAGAACTTTCCAGTTTTAGGCTCAAAGGGAAAGTATCCTAGAATGCTTATTCACTAGTTACATGGGTTATCTCCATATAGTAATTAATTATAGATTTGCTAAAGCCACTTCATAGTGTTCATGAAAACCAAAATCACATTACCATCTATTTGCGTACTGCTCCCTTTCCAGTGTTATACTTTGTGTGTCTCCAAAGCTCCAGATGAATTGGAGAACATAATATTCGTCATCCATGCCCTACCTCTGTGTCTTTAATCAATGGCCCTATGCCTGGTATTCCCTCACTCCTCCTCCTTGCATTTCTTCCTATTGAAAATCCTGTCAATCCTCTAAAGTCAAGCTTAAATGATACTTATTCCTAAAAGCCTTTTCTGATTTCCCTTCCACTTCCACACCTTACCAAGCTGATAATGATATCCCCATCCCATAATATTTTGCACATCTCTTATGTAAGGTACTGTCTCTTTGTAGATGGGTTACAGGTACCGATCATATGTTATTCTGTAGGAGAC